GAAAAAATGATTGAATGGCCGTAGTTTAGAGTCGCCTCGTCTTCATCCTCATCAGCTTTTTGATCATTTTCTTCCTTAGTTTCCGTTCATACGTTGTGAAGTCATGAAACCGTCGACTGCCGTACCCGTCGTCCTTGATGGGCGTGTACTTCACCCTGGAAGGCAGGATTTAACGAGTTTACGTGAGCTGAGAAGAATCAGATTGACTCACTTAGGAGGCGAGGTAGCGACCTCGTCCGAAGGTTCGCCAGGTGGCGGCGCGTATTCGTTGAATTTTTTACCAATGCCTGGTGACGGTACCACATCAGCAAGTATATTTTGAACTCCGCAATCCGATGGACAATATGAAGCAGGCATTCCTTCAAGCAAATTGCTGCGTAACATAAAAGGAGTTGTTGAAGATTCTACTTCAGGCGAAGAACTCGGAAATTGTGAAAAAAATAATTAAAATTTCATTAGTCGCCAATGGGGGGGGGGCAATAGATCGACAACGATATCTTCTACGTCTCGGCAAGAGGCAAAAAGAAAAAGTGTAAATATTTTAACTTCGATAAAGTTTATCTTTTGATGTGCCACGCAATCCACCTCCATTAAAAACACCGTGGAATATTGCGTGCAGTTTGGCCTGCACAACGGCTCGTAGGGGCCAACCAATGAAGAAGTCATTGGTTTTATCCTACCACGCAACATTGCTGTTAAATAATAGCCCTCGGAAGGCTGGACGGCTCTATTGCGTGGGATGATGTATGATTCACGATTTCAACTTCGTAACGTGGTGAGAGTCGCCATTTACCGCTTCCGTTCTATCCAAGGGTACGTATTAAAGTCTCTTTCATCTGAGCTCGTAGACTAACCTGGATCACCAGGAGGACCGAAAGGTCCCTCCATTCCAACAGAACCTTGCTTTCCCACAGGTCCAGCCGGACCAGCAGGTCCTGGGCTGCCTGGTTCTCCGGGATTGTTCGAAGTCTTTCCTAAAATTCAGTATGTCGAAGAACTGAATTTGTTATTCAAATTAAAAAATGTAAGCAGAAAGCCCGACGCATACCGTGAGGTCCTGGTCTTCCTTTCATCCCTTGTGGACCCGGTGGGCCAATGGGCCCTTTGATACCGACCCCAGCTATCGCCTGATCTCCTTCTGGTCCTTTTGGTCCCATGGGTCCCTGAAACTTGTGGCTTATCCATTGAAATACAAGAAAAAGGATTTTGCTAACATTTTCTCCAAGTGGTCCTAAACGTCCCGGTAGGCCTGGTGGACCATCCACGCCGCCGCTACCATCTGGTCCAGGCTGCCCTGGTTGACCAGGATGACCAGCCATTCCTCGTTCTCCCTGCGGTCCTCTAAATTCAATGTTAACCAACCTAGAGGTGTTTATAAAAGTTCTGAACGCACCTCAGTCCTGGAGGACCTGCTGGGCAGACAACACATGGAAGATCAGGCTCGGATTCGAGTTGTACATCAAGACCATCCTGTCCTGCAAGCCCTTGAGCTCCAGGTTCTCCTGGTGCGCCATCTGGCCCCGGTGACCCTGGCGGTCCAGGTGGTCCCATAGCGCATGCCAGGGTGAAGCATCCTAGAAGTAAGGCTTATAGCCCTTATGTTGCGATCCATTTCTAAAATTTTAGTCTCCCTCCGAAAACAGAGAAGCTGCCGAATGACAAGAGCATGAAGTAATGCAGTAATAGCGGAATTTCAAGTCAGATCAAAAACTACGTTGCTCCGAGATTGCATTAGCAAGGCTCAATGAAGTTACCTTTACAAAGACCGCTGTCAAGCCATGCCTTTCGCGGTCGCCTCGAGAAGAATCGGATTTGCGGGTCTAATACCTCGCGAACTTCAAACATCTCGCTCCATATTGCGTCGGATGATTGCTGTAAGGGTATATTGCGGTAATGGAATCGAGGGGATCAAAGCCTAATCCTTACCCTGAATCGCGAAGCGTGCTCACTGAGCTCCAGGCGTTGATAATCGGTCCTGACGTACACGAGTGGAATAGAAATAGCCAACAGTGCGATTGAGAGAGTGGAAAGGACGACGGAGGTCAGTCCAATTCGATGGTAAACCTGCTGTGAGCCGACGCTCATGGCTGCAACAAAACCTCCCTTCTAAAAATCATAGCAATCGATCGAGTTCTAAGCAACAGGGGACAGCTCGAATAGCGAACGGTTTTCCATGTCACTGTTTGTAAATTCTTGTTCCTCGAGTTTTCGCTAAATCTGGATCAATTCTGCAGAAAGGGTTGGTTCGCTGCTTCCGAACAGCACATACCAGATCAAATCACCTTACAGCGAATAAAAATTGCGGATCAAATTCCAAGGCCCACCCATCTGACACAACCCGCCCCTTACTGGTGTACTGATTTTGCTGCTTGCTATTTTGCGACGGTGACATAAGGTTAGGTTAGGTTGAGTTAGGAAGTGCATGCCGAGTGAACGAAAGAATTCTCACAGGTGACAAGGAGATTCCATAAAATCGCAAA